CTGGGCGCTAGGCCAGGCCTGAAGACCAGGATGAGATTCACAGCATCCAGGAAGAAAGTTACTCAGGGAGGCAAGCTGCTTCCTCACCATGGCTGGAATCCAGCCTTGGCCTCCACCAATCTGTACCACAGGAGTTTGTTGGATAAGTCTAGGCCTATCTCTATGAGAACTCCTTCCCCATCTTTCTCTCAGCATCATTTGTTTATCCAACAAACACATTCCCATGTGCATCTGATTTAACTCAGTACTCAGAAGAAAGCAATCTGATGGGGATAGTTCATATTAAAGTGCACAACTGATGGGTGCATGGTTCCATGGCAAGAATATCTACCTGGGTTTACAGGAATCTATGTCCCCAGCTGAGATGAATGGACGACTGTCTGCTTTGCCCACTCGTATAACTGCCCCAGTTCCTCATGGTCTAAACCAACACAGCACTTAAAAACTGTGAGACCAGGCTTGGTGATACTTGCATTTAATCCCAACTTGGAAGTTCAAGGTCAGCCTGATATATATAGAATAGCAAGTTGCAGGCCAGCCAGGGCTACCTTGTGAGAATCTGTTTCAATAAACAAAAACCACAAAACAAAGAGTTTATAAACGTTCCTATGGAAAACAATGCAAAGGCCCTCCAGGCCTGAGCTCTGTGGCAAAACAGAGACTACACACTGAGGGCTTTCTGGTCTCAGGGGCACTTTTCTCATTATCCATGCATATGCAGGTGCCCCAAAACAGGCCATGCACTCACATGCACACACACCCTCCAGCTGGTCTGTTGCTGAGGCCAGGTAGCTCCCCATCAGTCTCACCAGCTGTCCTGGCTGGCCACAGATACACAGAAAGGTTTGCAGCCAGACCCCACCTCTGACCCTCACAGAACATCAGCTTTCCTAATGCACAAAACCAATTAGATTCTCCTTCATCAAAAGTGCCCAAAAAGTCTGTCTCCTGCATCCAGGGCCAAGCCCCCACCTGGCAGCCATTCCTCCTCTACCCACATCAGCCTTCTTCCCCATCTCACCACTGTCCAGCATGTGGTCTGACGCATTCATCAAAATGGACAATATGTTAGTTTCCTATACACAAGTCCCAGCCTTCCTAACTTGTGTCTGTCTGAACCACTTACTACTAGTTTCCATGAAGTAAATTTTTACCATGCTGTAAGGCCAACCTCAAGTACTGCCCCTCCATGAAACTTATGCTTCACTCATGCTCTTCTGAAACCCACGGAACTGGGTGGATCTTCATACCATCTGCCCTGTGGCTCTACCACACCACTTTTCCCAGTCAACCTGAGCCTGTGAAGCAGCATTCTGACAAGGGGCTATCTGAAACACCACAGTGGCCCTTGGCAATGGTAAATGACATGAACTGACCCAAGACAGGAGGACCTTTCAGGGATGTTGGACCAGGAAAGGTTCCTGGGGCCTCTGGCCACTTGAAGGCTCTGCTGACTGTCTGATGCCTGCCTGCCCTACCCAGGGAGAACTCTACCACAACTACACATCACACATCAAAGCTCAGCCTGCAAGGGCTGCTTTCACTGGCCTGTCACTAAGCAGAGATGACAACTCCTCAGAGCCATGTGAGACAGGACAGGGATGCTAGCACTTCGGAAGTCGATGCTCTTTACTCCTTCCAGCTACAGATGGGCACAGGCCTGTTCTTTTCTACTGCGTAAGATGCTTCCGATGGTGACAAAATTAACACCACAGGCAGGAAGAGAGAAAAGCCCAAGGATATGAGTGAGGAGCAGAGTGTTCATGGGTCCATGGAGGGGCTGCAAGTGTGAACAGCAAGACTGGCCAGCTGTTCACATGGGACCTCTCCAGCAAGCAAAAGGAAAGCAAGTACAGAACGAACCAGAGCCAGCATGTCCCACCTGGCAGCCCCTCCGTTCCTCCTGGGGCACTGCTCTACAGATGTGGTTTCTGGCAGCACTGCTTCAAGGGGACAGTCAGGGCATAGAACACGGGCTTGCGTTCCCTACTATCCAGCCAGGCTGTTTGCAGGGCCACAGCACAGGAAAAGAGTGGAGGTCAAGTTCTGGACACTTCAAGGGGATGCACAGGTGGAAGAGGTGGGAGCTCAGGTCTGGACATTAGAATAAAAGCCCAGAGGAGACCTGGCCCACCTGCCCCACCCAAGATCAATCTCTCAGCCCACCTTCCTTTCCTGTAGAATGGGACAGCAACTGACTAGAAAGCCTACTTGGCTTCCAGAGCTCCCCAAGATGTCAGACACCAGAGGCCTAGAAAACAACACAGACCCTATTCATGTAAGGTACATGGGGGTACCAGGGAGTTGACATATGCTGGCTCTTAAGGATCACCTTTGGCCTAATAATTCTACCCTTGGGGAACTGTCATACAGAAATAATCCTAAGGCGAGAAGACAGTCTTTATGCATGTGGACATCTGTCATGCTCTAATTTATGGTATTAGAAAACAAATAGGAAACTTCAAGCAAGCCCAAAAGAGGAAAATGATATAACAAACCAAGCATCATCTAGTTAATGGAACCATTCAGGAAAATTTCAGGATGTAATTGTACAAAACATAGCGGAGTCTGACAGTAACTGGGAAAATCATTGCAGAACTTTACTGGTATCCTTCCTTCCTTCCTTCCTTCCTCTTTGCGTTGAAATGAAAGTTCAGGTTCATATCTTGACACTTGAAGAGTCAGTGTATTAGCAATGATGATGCTATATGGTGGCAAAAGCATAACTTTTTCCTATTTTGATGATGTTCTCAGTTTATGAATGAATCTTACTTTTTAAATAGAAAAAAGAAGCATGCACATCAGTGACAGAGATTTGCCTGGTACACACAGGGGCCTACTGAGACTCTCCTGCACCAGACAAAAAAGAAGTAAGCACCTATTACAGGTATCTAGGTACATAAGCAAGACCTTTGTGCTATATACAGAAAGGAAAGGAAAAGCTGCTTATAGACTTAACCTGTACTTCTGGAACATGGGTTACCAAGTCAGGATACACCACTGAGAAGAACAGGCTTAGTTAGCCCCACATTCCAGGCCTCCCAAACCCCATTCTCACTTTCCTGGAGAAAAAAAAAAAAAGTGCCAGGAAACAAACTAAATAGCCAAAAATAGCAAGAATATAGCAATTTCATAAGAACAAAGCTACCCACCAAAGCACAAAATAAAAGTAAATTCTACAATTAAAAAAAAATAAACAAAGAGCCGGGTGTGGTGGTGCACGCCTTTAATCCCAGCACTCGGGAGGCAGAG